AATATCAGGTCAACCATTTCGATGGCCGCTCTATGAGTGACAAACACCATAATCGAGGCGACCGTGGATTCAACATTTGGGGATATCTATCACTCCGTACGTCAACGTACGGATTGTAAATACACACGACAGCCAGAACCAGCACAGCGATAGGTGAGTGCCGCAGGTGTAGACGATTACATACGTTTTCGCACCCAATGAAAACCGTCCAAGGCCCTGGCGGCGCCGTTCCATCTCATGAGATACACATACCGTGTAGTTCCACTGACGGCACCCTGATCTGACCAGAATGAAAAGACACAGCAGTATAGAGAAAGTCCGGCACCCGTGGCATAGTCTCCTTCAACTTTGGCAAGGCGGGCATATTCAAGCTTACGGTAATCGCACCAAGCGAGTATATCAGTGTGTTCGGAGACAGGAGAATCTGCAAGATACTTTTCCAGCCCTTGCTTCGCATTGGTGTTGCCATTTGCACCTTGAACAGTCGTTACTCTGCGGTCTAGTTGCAAAAACCGGTAGCTCATGGTTCTAGTGGTGTGAACGAAGTTCAGGCTCGTTATTGAGGCTCGGAGGCCCTACACATGAGGCTGGGTGTGGAGGATCCGGAGGATATCGAGGTGGTTCCACACCGATTCGTTCCTTCTTTCGTTTAATGCCGTTTGCTGTCAAAAAAGCAAACACTGAACGGACAGCGTTATCAGGATGGCAGTAGTAACATGGGTTTATAGAAGAAATTTCTTCAAAGGCATGGCACTTGTGCCACCTTTTCCTTATCGAACAGCGCCCAGATGACGCTCAAACCTCGCTAGGGGCAAACGTACGGTGATCAGACACCCTCAACATTCGCTACAGCGTTGCGATTGACGTGTCAACGACACAATGAACCGCAACGCGATGCCGCAAAACAAAAAATGCACTAAAACACGCAGAAGACAGAGTGGATATCATCACCAACATTGATCAAATAATCCACCTCATGCAAGACGACCAGCCCCTACCGTGCAAGCACGAATCTAATGCTTTTACCCATTCCTAAACGAAGGACAAATCGATCGACTCACGGGCTTGGAGGGAGGGGCTTTGGTTGTGTGCTGATCAAGAATGGTCTGAGTCCAGGCTTTGCGCAGATGTTCGTCGCGGTCTGAGTCGAGGCGTTGCGGAGATGTTTGTCACGGCATTGAAGTTATAATTGATATAAATCAGGCTCTTAAGAAAGTTCCCCAGGTCCGCGCTGGCTATGACTGAAACCGGTGGCTAGGAACGTTTTGCGGACAGTGCGACGCTGCCAGAAAGCGGCTGGCCATGATTTATGCTGCCATGTGCACTCCTTACGTTGTTTTCCGCCAACGAACTCCAAGGCAGCGGAAACACAACCGGCACAGTTTGGGTGCGGATTGGGCGCAATACGTCGAGAAAATGGACGAACCATACGCGGAGCCATCCATCGACAGTCTTCCTGGTGGTTCTCAGGACGACCCAACTATTGAGCATTGTGCCATGATAGATAGTGTTGCTAACGGGGAAAGGCCCTACTAGAGGCGAAGGCAGGGGCTACAAAGCATTGAGCCCCTTGTAAATAAGCCCTCATTCCCGTCGCTGGGTGTTTTTACAGTTTCGACCAAGCTCCGCTTTCGGGTGCGAGGCCTGGGTGCCGCAATAAGCATGGCACACACCCGCCGCTAGGGATTGTAACGCTACGTTGCAGGTGCGGTTTTGATGGCGGTGTGTCGAACCCGCGCTCGCTTCTTTGTCCGTGTGGACTCTCTCATGGTTGCTGGTAGCGGATGGATTGGTATCGTGATGTTGAAAGTGGTTAAGGTTTATGCGTCGGGCGCAAGCGAGGTTTTGAGGTTTGAGGTTTGAAGGGTTTGAAGGTGGTGGATTGTGATAGCTATCAGTAACAGGAATGAGGAATTGTTTGCACTGTCGATGTCAGCGGACACAGAATTTGCATGATGTTCGTTCCCATGACAGGCCAAGTTAGGTGACTTCGTCGCCGTGTCAATCAATCGAAGTGGCTGTTTGTGAGCCACGCCCTACGCCCGCTGGGTTCGGGTTACCGGAACCACGGCCGCTGGGGGGAGGAGGAAATGGAGAGGTTGGTCAAAACTGTGATCGCAAAGATGAATGCGAGTCCGATCCGTAAGACCGTCTTTCCATCTGAGGCTATCGATGCGATGCTGCACAGAATTTGCTGGGATGATAGTGGTACTCAAGGTAGGCTGAAATGGCCGGCTGGCTGGAAATCGGGTGTCCCAGAGCTCCAATGGGACGCTCCAGCCTGGTTGCAGACGCTGAGGGACCTTCGTGTAAACTCGCTGTCTGGCTGGGTGTCGTCGCTGCCACCACTGCCAATCGACAATCCACCAGCCACCAGCTACCAGCATCACCGCATTCCTCACTGTCGCTACCTCCAACTACAGCTAGCTGCATTTATGTAGATATAAAAGATGTTTCCCCGTCCGTGGTCTTTTGATGATCCGTGGAATGCCAGTAATGTAGGGAAAGAGACATGTCATAACCATGACAGAAGGCAGCGACGGGAACGATGGTGTTGCATCGCGCGCGGCATCAGGCTGAGTAAAGCTCGTGGTCACGCGAAAATATAGCCATCTGACCTCTTCATCGTTGAGCCAGCCGTGTTTTTCGGTGCTGGATGGAAGAATCTGGCTGGAAATGTCACTTTGTCGGCGGCCTATCGGATCCGCTCAACGTGACCGATTTTCCAGCCAGCCGGCCTTTTCAGCCTGCCGTGAGTCCCACAGATGTGCGCAATATGAATGCAGCGAAAGAGAGGAAGTAACAGAGCGCTCCAGCTGTGGGTGGCCCGATCGCTGAGAGATCGTTCGCTGCTCTTGCTAACAATCATGTGAAACCAGGATCGTGACGACGCGCACCGCAAGGCAAATGTTTACGGGGAAGATAATAAATGCGAGGTAAGTCTCATCAGTGAACACAGGTCGCTGTCCTTTCTCCCGACCGCATTCGGTTCTACGGTCCGCCGACGTTGGCTCTATCACAGCCGGTCATGTGGTACATAAACGTTTAAATCCCTCGTATACAGCCCGTACCTTCACCTGCACCTTCTTGAGTGTACGGTAACTGGCTTGAGGGTCCAATGGCGTGAAATTACGCCTATACGACGCGTTTGAACTGAGGAAGATAGGCGTTTACCAGCTTCAACATAGCTCGCTGGCACTCTGAATTCGTCGGTGCAAAGAATATTTTGCGCCCATCCAATTTGGGTAACAGGAATAATGCGTGTCACCTGCGCTGCTGCGAGGAATGGTATGGCTGCCAGGAATACCAGAGAATGCGGGAATGGGTTGGTTGTTCAGCTTCCTCGACCTATGTCGCTTCTGTTTCAATGGACAAAACCATTAACGGACTCATACCTATGTTCCTCACCTCCCCAGTAGTGCGGAACCTCGTTAAGCATAAACTTTGTCCCATAAACGCGGTGGTGACTCGAGTCGTCAGCCCAGCAAAAACCGCCAGAACGACTGTGCCAGTGGCTGCAATACATCACGGCGATAAACTGGCGAAGAAGAGGTACAGCCGAACAACGCCGCCAGCGAGGTTGCCCATCAGACAATGATAATGATAGGTGCAAAAAGATGCACACAGACAATTTAAATCTTACAGCCGATGACATTTCGATGCAATCCACATTGACATCGCAAATCTTCGTTTCAAAGCAAGGGTTATCGTACGTATGCTGAATCAATGTTGACGCTCCCGTAAATTCCCCCAATAGTGAGGGGAATCTGTGTGTATGTTGAACGGTTCTAGACGTTGCGTGTTGCATGAGCAGCAGGCACGCAGCCCGAATCTCGAGGATACTTCTAGCACGCCATCGCTGACACGACACACACGTAATTCCGCTGGCAATCACACGCCCACCGAGATGACTTGGCACACCAAGACTGACTCCCTTCTTGGCGGCTATTTGACCTCGACTTCGTTGTCCTACAGAGCTTCAAGCTTTAAGCCGGCACCTTTGCTAGTGTGGGGTTAACCAGTCGCAGGGGCAGTTTTGCTTGTTTTGGGGTGCCAAGGCACGGAAACCACCTCACCTTTAGCACTGCAGCCGGGTGATGAGACTCCAACGAAGGTCGTGATGATATGGTGCGCACACTGTAGCTATCCTAAACGTATCAGCGCACGCTAGCGTTCAACTCGACGGCATCCGCCTGCACCTGACCCAATCATCCACACGACTGCCACCTGAGAAGTGCTTTGACGATGGGTTTTGACATAGAAGTGCGTGTCCTAGGGCTTCTATATATGTTGAATGAATCGCCGCCACTGCTGTGCGTGCTCGGTTTCAACCAGTGAAGACACAGCTGAAATTTTCACCAAGAACCATACTACCGTCAACTAGCCGCTTTTAGATCCACGAGTGTTCGTCCCAGCTAGCAGGAATGAGTTACCGTGCTTGCTTGCGTAGAGGTAGTCGACATATGACTTTGACGATCCAGCGAGAGAAAGTCTGAATGTTGAGGGTACAGCTGGAGACGGTGCAGACATTCATAGTGACCATGACACCTCACAGGGGGCAGATTCAGCTGCCGAGGCTGTTCTAAACTCCTCTTCAGGGCAGTCACACCTCTGGGAGTGATCTGTACGGACCATGGGCATCACCCCGGAATGCAGTTCCCGTGCGAGTATAACGTGCTCCTGATTTTTGCTTAAAACAATGGAATGGCTTGACCCCGGTGCACAGCAGCTTGAGCCTAGTAATTGGACGAGTTTACTCTTGCCTACCCACGTTGCACGTCTCGCGCCGGCCGGCGTCCATCACTAAGCGTTAATGCCAGCGCGCACTGCCAAGCTACTCATATTGAGCCTCAGCATGGTAGCCTTCTTCATCGGCCAGCTGCTAACCGCTTAGGTTAATTGTAACTAACGGTATTGAGTCCAAACAGCTATTTCAAACCCTAATTTCCCGTCCCAGATCAAGAAAGATGGTAAACAAAAAAAAAAAAAAAAAAGATAATTGAGGACGCTGGGAATCGAACCCAGATCTTCTCATTATGGCCCACCCAAGTCCAATTACTCGGCAGGGCTAGAGATGCGCGGTACCACTGAGCCACGCCCCCGGATGGTTGGCCCAACCTGTCACCATTGTTCACCGCACAGAGTCACCCCACCGGCGGTGGGGCAATGCGATAAGCCACATACAGCATAATCATACCAGATCTGTGGGGCGCCTCGGGAGGCTCAGGCTGGGCTCGAGCTTTGTTGTGGAGGCTTGGTACTCCGCTGGCATACCGCTGCTAGGTAACGCGACGAATACATCCCCATCACCCCGTCTCAACCCTACCTCCCTCTGTCCCCCTAACCCTATCTCTCCTCTGTACCGGCGAGGTACCACCTCATATCCAGCACTGTGTTGTTGCTTAAGCACCGGATGAAGCAAACGAATGTTCCGCCGTGGGAAAGGTTGGGATATGAAACGGAGGTGGGGGTGCCACGTGCCGTTCGTGATTTGCACCATGGGAAGTGACAAATAGGGATCATGATGATCAGGAGGGTGCGGATTCGGCCGTGGAAGCGATTCTAGACTCGTGTTCCAGTCTGACAGATCTATCAGACTGATATATGTGTAACCAGCGGAAGATAGGAAAGATCAGTGTGTCCGTTCCATAACTGCACCGCTACCGAAATGGACCACCTAAATGTGATTTTATACCCAAGCTCGAGCCGGAATCGAGCTTTTTGAGTTAGGATCAGGCTCGCGATAGCAGCCCGCCCAAGATGCGAGCTGGCTCGTGTGCAACACTAGGCCGCCTGGATATCCATCGTCATCTTCCAACCCAGTAACACAACAATCCTCACGAGCGCTTTGCCAAGTATCTTTGGATGGTGACATCGACCGTACTCCCGTGCGCTACGACCAATTTGCACGAAGCCTGTTGATGCTGGAGACGCGGGAGCATGATAGCGATTTGGGCGGTTATGGCGACTGGCATGTCAAGTTGCCAGTGGGAGAATGGTATCGAGGATGGATAGCTTATGGGGTATCCCCGCTCAAGATCGGTTCGGTCAAGGAGCCGAAGTCAAGGCCACTAAAGGCGCTCGGTCGTTCAGAAGCAGCTAAAGCGTCGATCACAATCAATTGACTTGTCGATCCAGCCCAAAACCAACAGTTCCGAGACGAGTGGGAAGAATGCGGAGTGGAACTGCTGGCGGTTTGCTCATAAATCCCTAGAATATACTGGTCGCAGGAGAGGCGGAAGAATACGGCGGACGTTTCGCTCAGAAGCCAAAAGATTCCGAAACTGAAGGAGCGTAGCAGAAGCGCTGCAGTATTCCGACTCCGTGTTGTACCTGAGTGATAGGAGGGAAGGTCTTGTGTATCGGGCGAGTTCCAAATTCGTCGTATGCAGAGTGACTCGGAACTGCAGGCGGCGAGGATTGATGGGTAGATTGAGCGCCTTCACGTTGGATCTGTATCTCATGTTCATTTTCCTTTCCTTGATGTAAGTGTAAGCAAAAACAGTACAGATGCCTGGGGGGCCCGCCGGGCGCCGGGTCTTTTTGGGCCTGGCGGGTGCCCGTTGGCGCCTGGGTCTGGATCCAAAAAGCTTGGTCCAAACGTGCCGTGATTTCAAAAGCCCGTTTCAATCAGTCCGGTTCAGGCCGCACTCAAAGCCGGACTGGCCGGACTTTTGACAGCCTTGCCCCACCACCCGCTCCTTGCCTGCGAGGCTACTATGGTGCAGGCAGAAATAGTCCTAGTTGTCGCACGGATGTTTTCGTCGGATAGTAAGCAGCGGACACGGTGCAGATAGTGGTCAAAGGGTACGAAGTGGTGGTGACCAAAGTTCAGAGCGAACGCTGAGGCCAGGCGCACCATCTGCGCTTGGACTGTGACCCCAATAATCACTTTATTGCCCATCTGGGCCTGGCTCTCGCTGTGAGACCCGCCGGTGATATAGACCTGCGCTCTGTACTCCTCGTCTCCAAAGGTGGCGCCTTCCCTATATGCCTGGGTAATACGCTGAGTCCGTCGCCAGTATTTGAAAATGAGCGATGGCTTCACAGACACTAGAGCTTCAGGGACCGCCTCCATAACACCTGATGGCTATTAGCTACTGTTGCATTATTGAGGAAGGGTTAAATACCGGGCAGAGTGTAGGAGCAGTGCTTCCGGGCGTACTGATTGCATGCGCCCCCGTAATGACCGCCATCGTCGAGAGAACCGCTATCGCTGAGAGAGCCGCCATCGCCGAGAAAACCGCCGCCGCCAAGAGATTCACTGACGCCGCCGAGAGACTCGGCTTCGCCGAGACGACTGCGTTTCCGAGTGCAAGATGCGCTGATGGCGCCCGCTTGCCGTAATTGTACCTTTCTTTTGTTCGGCCTGCCTATTGAGTTCAAATTGCTGCTGCTGGAGGGTCGTTGTACCAGTGGTATACGACGTTGGGAGTAGCCGGCATTATGGATTGAAGGCATGACAAAATAACCACAGTGCTCGGACCGAGGTCACTGTTTCCAACAGTGGGTGCATTCCCGTAAGCCTAAAACCATGTCATAGGAAAAAAACAGGGTTCCTAGACAAAATTTAGACTTGGATGACCCCCCGATAAGAAGACGAAATCCGTGATTTTAAGGAGGGGGGGACCCCCCCTCCACGTAACCAAAAGGCATAACCAAAAAATAGAGCCGCAACGTTGATTGGTTGTTTCAACCTCACTTTGCGCAATTGCGGTGGCTGAAGCTTCACGCGTAGCACGGCCTCTTTCTACACCGAGCCCACGCCCCTCCACTCTCACGGTACATCGGATTTGGACTTTTTATTCTTTACGAGACTTTATTCGAGTTGCCTCAGGCACAAATTATCTGGCCCGACGATGCACAGAAAGCTCAAAAGAGCGACATCATCGCAGCTCGGCCCCCTCGTCTACGTGGGGCGTTTGGTTTTGCAGACGGTATGCAAGTTCCGGTAGAGGTCGCAGGGGCTCACTATGTTCAAAATGCTTACTATTCGGGCTGGACTTGCTCACACTTTGTTAACAACCTCTTTTGCTACGGCCTCGATGGGGCAATAGGCTCTGATGGTTTTCAAAAGCGTGCAACCCTCCTCTTCTGTGTAGTTTTTAGAGCCAGCAACCCTTCCTCTCTGGTTGGAGACAGTGGGGGTCTGGCGCTGGGATTTGGGAGAGGTTCTGAAACGACATTCTGAAGCTTCAAAGGCGGCAGTAGACGGTTTGAATAAAGTATTGTATGGTGGTTAAGGTGCTAGTAATTGTTAGAGCTGTATCGTGAATGATGGAGACCTCCACACCTCTTTGCTTTTTATTTTTCTCTCCTCTACCCGCTTGTGAGCTTGGATTTGTGCCATTGTTGATGTCTTGTTGAGGTAACGCAAGGTGGTGTCGGGTTCGCAAGGTGACGTGGTCGCGAGGTGACGGGGTCGCGAGGTGGGTCGCGATATCACGGGTACGTTATGAGCGACGTGACTGACATCCTTGATTTTGCTCAAGAAGGATTTACGGTTGGCTAGTTGAGCCCAGATCAGGTAAAATATTTAGGTTTTTGGTTTTAGGCTTACGGGAATGCACCCAGTATAACCCTCAAGATATTGGCAGGTGGCAGCGTTGGCAGCTGGTCATGGCGGCGGGGCCGTGCCATTGAGCTGGTCCCAGCTTTTCACAATCTGTAGTTGCGACCCCATAACCAGAGTAAACTGGTGTTAAACCGGTGGGACTGCGCCGTGTAGAATTATTGAGCGCATCTTGTTTGGTAGAGAAACGTGGTGTCTGCTCAGAGTTCGCACGCGGGGATAACTGCGTTCATTATGGTCGCCCGTCTCCAGACATCTCCACCAACCGGGAACGTGCGACGACGATCTGTATAAGTGCCTGCACTATGCCCTGATTGACCCTGGGGAAACCGTCCTTGGCCTGCTAAGCGCGCTGACTCAATGACCACCGACAGCGTGTCAACTTTACGTGATGGCAACGCAGCTCATGTCAGGATTTACTAGGTCTATACTACCTGTCAAACAAATCAGATACAAGGGCTGCGTTAAGGTAATATGAAGGGAATCTAATCCCCCGGCACCTGCTGCTGTCAGCCGTTCTCCTGCTGCTTCAATATCGTGAAGACACCGCCGTTGGACATGTAATTCGCTGTGCCAGCGCACTGTACACCATCAAACCATTGCCAGTGCGTGCAGCGTTATCTGGTAGGCACTTCGCATGATGGTGTATCCCGGTGAGCGAAATGTCGGCCTCCCCCTCCGGCTACCCAACTAACCTGAACTGCCGCCGTTTTACCCGTGCGTAGTCATCTCCGAGGCTCTGAGAAGAGTGACCTCATTTCTTGCATCGTTGCTTTGACCCTGCGTGGATTGAACACAGCAAAGACTGTGACGCTACAAGGTTGACCTACTCAGGATTGCTCTCAAAACTACACATTGCACATGTCCACCGCGCAGCTCCGGAACCCCCGCCACTCTCCTGTTAACCTACTACCATCAATTTGGCTTTCTTTGAGCGAGACATGTGCGTCCAACGCCTGCACAAGTGCTGACACGGGTCTGTTTGTACTGAACACCTTATGAGCCAAATCTCTTCCCCTCCAAGCATACTACCTGTTCCTGCCCGAGTGGTTACCCATCACTCTTAAAGGCGGTCAACCGATGCCCGCCGTGAAAATGCTAGCTGGTCGTCTTCATGGCCGAGGTCTTCTCCTCAGCCGCGCCCCCGCTATCTCCTGTTCTCTCGCCTCGCCCATCGCATATTCCGTTGTGTTTTGCCGCAGTGTGGTCACCACCCTCCAGCGCGTCGCCGCCCACGGCGAGAGTGGCAACCAGCGGCGTTGATAGCCTTCGCATGTATCCCACAACGGTTGTTTCGCAATTCCGCGTCCGGCAGGGCTTGCCGCTGACGTGGGAACTCGGCACGCAGGCGGAGGAACGGCAGGAGCAGGTAATTGATCCAGTTGCACTCCCTCCAGCACGGGCACGCCGGCCATACATTCAGCACGTTTGGGCGGTGAAAGATGGGGAATGAGAGGCGTGGTACAGGGCGTGAGCTTGCCAGAGAAAGGAAAGGTAGAAGGAGCGGTAGCACGAGCCCGTATGGACGCT